TTCCTAGTTAAATGAGCTAAATCTGGCTTGTGTGGGTTAATAGTCGAGTTCTTTCCATCCCATAATCTCTCTTTTATCATTGTCTCTTGTTTTCTTGGAAGTTCCAGACAAGCACGTTGGTGATGAGTTAGTTTCCGCTTGCTAGTGAACTTGAGCTTATGTGACTCCATTTCCCATGCAGGTCTGTTGGGGGTCTGTATGGGAGCTGGTCCAAAATGAGGATCTCTCACAATGCACAACTGAGAAACAACACACGTTGCTATACTTATATTCTTTTCCTTTCTCATTCATCTTTCCTCCTTCCTTGACTTGGTAGCCTTGCCTAATAAAAGAGTTGTCACTGCTTAAAGCACCCTTTAGTTCAGAGAGGTCTTTTGTGTTCTAATCATGGATGATTGCTAAAAACACAGATTCTCGGTTCTCCCACAGACTTAGTGAATAATATGTGCTGTGGAATATTACTTTAACCTAGCTAAGATGTGTTACATTTGCTTATGCTGAAAAATATTACTTTAACTGTGTAAAGGTATGTTACGATTTGTTTGTGCTGAATTTGTTTAATTATGTAAAGATGTGTTGCTGTTTCACCTTGCCTGCCTAAGGCACCTGATAAGTCTTATAAAGAGCTGAACAGTTAATAGCTAGGCAGTAAAGGGATAGGCAGGAAGGCAGAGAGAATAAGTAGGAGGAGAAATCTAGGTGAGAGAGAAGGAGAAGAGAACAAGGGAGAAAGAGAGGGATACTCCTGGGGTCAGAAGCCAGCCAGCTGCCAGCCAGCCAGGAAAACAGGAAAATAAAGGTAAAAAAGTCCTGAGATAAAGAGAAACAGATTAAAATAAGAGTTGAGGGGGATGCAGAGATGGCTCAGTGGTTAAGAGCACTGGCTGTTCTTCCAGAGGTCCTGAGTTCAGTTCCCAGCAACCACATGGTGGCTCATAACCATCTGTAATGAGATCTGGTGCCCTCTTCTGGTGTGCAGGCATACATGCAGGCAGAACACTGTATACAAAATAAATAAATAAGATCTTAAAAAAAATAAAATAAGAACTAAGTAATCTAGGGCTGAGCATTCAAAATTAATAATAATAAGTTTCCATGTTATGACTTGGGAGCTGGTTGGTGGCCCTAAAGAAAGCCTGCTACAAATTTCTTACTAGAAAATCCATTTCTCACCACCCTCATCTCCATCCCCCAGTGAGTCTAAAGCCATCTAACATGTGAAAGCCACCGTCTGGAAGTTTGTGAATGTGCAGGCCTGTGCCTGGTGTCATGCAGGCTCTTCTACACTTTCCAGGAAGTGGCCTCAGAAAGTTTGTCTGTTATTCTCTTGGAGCTGGCAGTAGGACTGATGAACCCTGCTTTCTAACCGAAAATCCATTCACCATCTAGCCCTCTGCCTGGAAGCATAACTGGTGGTTTGCTCTGTAGGGGCCTTCGGAGAGGTAACCCCAATGAAGGCATCAGCTTCCCTCAAACACCTCATGGAGCATCCTTTTCTGTCCCCACAGCTTCTTCTTTTGAACAACTGCAACAACAAAAATCTACCAACAATTCCTAATTACCTTGTCTGCTTCCATCTCTACTTCACAGGAGGATAGATGTTGTTAGATATCCACCTGGAATGCACTGGGCAACCTTGATTTATAACGAACCTTTATTTATTTATTTTTAAGATTTGTTTTTCAGTTATGGGTTTCCATGTGGTATAAGCAAATGAGTTCAGGTGATTGTGGAGGTTGCTGGATTCCCTAGGGCTGGGATTACAGGTGCTTGTGTGTTGAGAACAGAACTTAGATCCTCTGCAAGAGCAGTACTCACTCAGCCATGGACCTGTCTGTCTGGCTCCCTGGGCCCCATTTATTTATTTATTTATTTATTTATTTATTTATTTATTTACTTAATGCCAGGAACACAGCACCCTCCTCTCCAAGAACATCACATAATTTGCACTCTGATACACTTGCAATGAGTACATCTCAGATCGTGTGTAATAAAGGCAGTTTTCATGCCTGGCTGATGCTAATCCCCCAAACTTAGCACTTCACAGATAAGACTGCATTTAATTCTTGAAGCAGTCCTCTATGTGCGCTATACTACTATCCCACTGTATCAATGAGCAGAGAGGGACCAGAAGAACCAGACAACCTGACTAAGGACCTAGAGCTGCATATAGTATAACCAATAACCCTACATCCTTAAGTTCTCTCCATGTCACTTGGTAGATAATATGTGTGCATTTGAGTGGTCTTGTGTCTGTCCTGGAAGGATGACTCCATTCAGTACCACTCTGAGTGGCCTCAGCACTTTTTAGCTGTGTTTACATCTGGGTGCTAAGGCAGAGCTGCAAAGGAACGCTTTTATCCTCTTTCTGTTGAAGTGGCCAAGTGGGGTTTTCAGAGTAGAAAAGCCTGAGTCCCCAAGAGACCAGCTTTGGGCTAGGAGCAACACCCTCTCCCCATGCCAGGCATGCTGGGTTGCATACCCAGCAGAGAGCTCCTTTGGGCTCAGTCTGATACATAAGAGAGGCAGAGGGAGCTTCAGGCATGTCTTAGCAGTTAGTTGTTCTTGGAATGAGTGTTTTTGTTTTGTTTTGTTTTGTTTTCTCCCTTAAATGCTTACTTGCATATTCCATTTTCTTCAAAATAGATATAATTCCTCTCCCAGTAAATAAACAAATTCAGAAAACAAGTAAATAACAAATAAATAAACAAATTCAGAAAATTTGAGTGCAAATATACTTCTTGGAAAATCAGCCTTCTTAAAGGGTCTCAATCATTGTAACTTAAAACTTACTCATCCAGTAGCCTGAAGTGTCAGTACTTGGGTTTTTATATCCGTCAGTCATTGCAACTTCACAAGTCACGTAATTTCCATAAAATAGTAACCAAGAGTGGGATAGATAGCTCAGAAGGTGAAAGCACATGAGTTCAATTTCCAGGACCCACATGGTGGCAGGAATCATCCCCTCTGGCTTGTGAGTACATGCACCTCCATGTATTTATACACACACACACACACACACACACACACACACACACACACACACACAGTAATAGTTTGAATGTAATTGGCCCCTATAATCACATAAGGAGCCAGGCAATAGTTGCACATGCCTTTAGTCCAGCACTCGGGAGGCAGAGACAGGTGGATCTCTGTGAGTTCCAGGCCAGCCTGGTCTACAAAGTGAGTTCCAGGATAGGTTTCAAAGCTACAGAGAAACCCTGTCTTGAAAAACAAAACAAAACAAAACAAAAATCGGGCTTGAGAGATGGCTCAGAGGTTAAGAGAACTTTGCTGTTCTTCCAGAGATCCTGAGTTCAATTCCCAGCAACCATATGGTGGCTTATGACCATCTATAATTGGATCTGGTGCCCTCTTCTGGCCTGTAAGTATACATTGCAGACAGCACTCATACATAATAAATAAATCTTAAAGAAAAAAAAAAAAAAAGACCCTGTCAGAAAAACCAAAATGAAAAACAAAAAATCACATAGGGAGTGGCACTATTAGGAGATGTGGCTTTGTTGGAGTGGGTGTGCCTTGCTAGAGGAAGTGTGCCACTGTGGGGGCAGGCTTTGAGGTTTCTTATGCTCAAGATACAGCCTAGACTGTCAGTCAACTTCCTGTTGCCTGCAAAATGTAGCACTCTCCGCTCCAGCACCACATCTTCCTGCACCTCTCTGATGATAATGGACTGAGCCTCTGAAATTGTGAGTCACTCCAATTATAAGAGTTGCTGTGATCATGGTGTCGCTTCACAACAGTAAAATCCTTAACAAGGACACACACACACACACACACACAGGGAGAGAGAGAGCGAGCGAGAGAGAGAGAGAGAGAGAGAGAGAAAGAGAGAGAGAGAGAGAGAGAGAGAGAGGGAGAGAGAGGGAGAGATTTTGTGTGATTTTAAAAAAGGTGCTGCCTGGCAGTGGTGGACACACCTTAGTCCCAGCACTTGGGAGGCAGAGGCAGGATGATCTCTGTTAGTTTGAGGCCAGCCTGTTCAACTGAACACAGGATGGCCAAAAAACAAAAACAAACAACTAATCATTTAAAAATGTGTCATAATAGTGCTTTCCCCCCATTGTTAGCGTGCTCAGCTGCTGTGTGCCCAACACTGTTCATGCCTTTTTGATTCCTTGTAGTCTTTTTCTTTTGTGACAGTGTCTCACTCTGTAGCTCTCTCCTGGCCTGGAACTTGCCCTGTAAATCAGGCTGCCTCTAACTCACAGCAATCCTCCAGAGTGCTGCCTCCTGAGTGCTGGGACTAAAGGTATGTGCTGCACTTACAGAATGTATTTTGATTTTATGTGTCTTTGGGATAGGGTCTTATGTAGCCCAGGCTAGCCTCGAATGTCGTATGTTTGAGGATGACCTTGAACTCCTGATCTTCTTCCCACCTCCATCTCTCGAGTAATGGCGTTACAGATTTGTATCACCACACCTGACTCATTTATCTACTCCTCAACCCAAGTAGGTGAAAGAGATGTCTCAGCCCCCTCATTTAACAATCAAGACCACTGAGGGGCTGAGAGGGAAGCCTCGCTTTAAGACATCTGCCTAATATGGGGGGGTGAAAGGGAAGGTCGGAGGACATGGGAGGGACAGAGGGAGAGGGAACTGGGATCGAAATAAAAAAAAATATATATATATATATACATATATGCACGCATACACACACACATACACATACACACACACACACACACACACACACACAAACACGAAGACATTTCCCTAAAATTGCCTCTCAATGGCTGTTAAAGCACTTAGCAAAACCCGACACTTCGTAAGTGCTCTCTAAAGTTTTCTTCAACCACTAGAATGTTGGTTGTTAGTTGTTTGCTTTAAAAACTCGGGCACAACATAACTTAATTGTACAAAGAAGCAAAGTTTGCTAATGCAGGCAGGACAAGAGTGGCACGCATTAGCGCGCGGGCGCAGCCTGGGGGCGGGGTCGGAGAAGGAGGGGCCTGGAAGGGCGTGGGCAAAAGAAGCCACGCCCCGAGCACCTGCGACAGGTGGAGCGCGCGGCGCCGGGCACTCGGCCATGTCCGCGGACGCCTCGGGGCCGGAGACCCGGCCGGGGCTGGGTCTGGGGCGGGAACCCCGGCTGGGGTCCGAGCCGGGCCAGTTGTGTCCTGAGCACGGAGAGCCTCTGAACTGGTTCTGCCTCTCCGAGAGACGGCCGGTGTGCGCCGCCTGCGCCGGGTTGGGTGGCCGCTGTCACAGGCACCGCATCCGCCGGGCGGAGGAGCACGCCGAGGAGTTGCGAGTGAGCGGGGATGGGGCCGGGAGCTGGAGTGGTTTTCTTGAAGTCCGGGAATTGGCAGGGACCAGGAAGCCGGGGGGGTGGGGTGGGGTGGGGTGGGGGAAGGTCTGGCTTCTCTGTGGCTTCCCTTTCAGAGCTGGTTGGTTAAAGGTGTGATCTCTGTATTAAATTGTATCCGAGTTCGAATCTTTACCCACTCCCTGTGAGTCACGGAAATTAGCTTGTTGTATTTCACCTGCAGTTTCGGGGCATTCATAATACCACGTGTTTGTTATAGTTGACCTCGGAAAAACTCAATTCCCCCTCACCCCTTGACTCAGAGTCTCCTCCCCTCCACTCAGGTTTCCTGGTGAGGGATCTAGTTGCCTTCCAACCTGGCCTTGACTGGACTTGAAGTTGCTGGATGGGGTGGGGAGAATGGCAAGACGCTCCCTATCTCTGAAGGCGCCTCTTTTCCTGGCTCAGTGTGGCTGTAGGTGTAGGCTGGTCACCTTCCTGTTACACCCCCACCCTTTTCCCTGAGCTGCTGAGATTGGAGGCCAAATCACCTTGGTGCTGCTGTCTTCCCTTCATTCTAGCTGTGGCCCCTGGGGAATTCCTTGCAATTTGGGTAAATGGCTTACTTCTCCCAACCACCCTGGCACTGAGCCCTGCTGTGCACTGAGGGCTGTCACTAGGGACATCACCTACTCAAACCAGATTGTAAAAAGCGTACCTTACTAAAACTGGGGCCAGCAGGGTTCAGTTACTCAGTGGTGATGAAAATAAACTTGAGTAAAGTTGATAGAATCAGCTTGCATCATGGGTAAGGATTTTACAAATTCCCTAAGGACTTAGATATTTATCATCTCATTCCACCCAGGCTGGGCTTCTGAAGCATGGGTTCTAATTCTGGTTTTTCAGATGAGGGAAGGGAGGTCCACAGCAGGACAGTAACTCCTCCCAGACTCCTAAGGTTCAAGACTTAGAAGGGGAGATTCATTGACTGGGCAAGAGGAAACCACTGCTTGACCTCAGTGGTTAGGAAGAGGAAATGACCTAATGGAAAGCCTTGAAAAGTGGCCATCGTGCCTGAGTGGTGGGAGGGGTGAAAGCTGGGGCAGGATGACAAGCTTGGTACTATGCCCCAGGTGCTTTCTCTGGGCCACTCTAAGACCTTACACACACGTGTGGCCTTGGTTTAAGGGAAGTGAGTCTTGTCTCTTCTACTTTAGATATTGTGTTTTCATTTGCTTTTCTTTTTTGGTTTTACCAAGCCTCATGCATGTTAGACTCTACCACTGAGCAACATCTCTAGCACTAGAGTACACAATGCTTTCAATATACTCCTCCTATCCCGCAATCCTAGAGAGACATTGTCTCTGGAGCATCAACACTACTTACTGACCTGGGCAGAATAGCACCAGTTCAACTGTTCTTAGTGTCTGGCTTCCTACCTGGAAGCTAGTTAGAAGGTAGGCTCAGGTTAGGAGCCACCTAAGTGACATTATTGGATGAATGGATAAGAAAAATATATTCACATACAACCACACATTAGAGTATTATTCCATAATACAGAATAAAATTATGTGACTGGCAGGAAGATGGGGAAAATGGAGATCACCATGTTAAGTGAAACAAGCCTGACTCAGAAAGCCAACTGTCTCATGTTTAGTCTTATATATAGAACCTAGACATAAAATAAACATAGCCATAAAAAGACAACATGACTTGGTTTGCTGGCACACTCCTGTACTAGTGAGGCAAGGAGATGACAGGTATGAGGCCAGTTTGGATTTCATAAAAAAAGCCTTGTCTTAAAAAAAAAAAAAAATAAAAGCCAGTTGTGGTAGCTTTAGTCTAAGCACTTGGGAGGCAGGGGCAGGAGAATCTCTGTGAGTTCAAGGCCAACCTGTTCTACAAAGTGAGTTCTAGGACAGCCAGAGATGTACAGAAAAATCCTATCTTAAACATTTTTTCTTAATAAAAAGAAAAAAGGGGGGATTTTGGAGAGATGGCTCAGTGGTTAAGAGCACTGGCTTCTTCCAGAGGATCAGGTTCGATTCCTAGCACTCATATGACAGCTCAAACGTATAATTCCAGCTCTAAGGGTTCTGACACTCTCACACAGACATACATGCAGGCCAAATGCCAATGCAATAAGATAATGATAATAATCATAATAAACAAACTAAAAAAAGAAAAAAGGCATGAAACTTAGATAGGGAAGCATTAAAGAAGATCACGATGGAGGAGGGAGAATGAAGGGTTGGTGTGACAGAAGAGTCACAATGAAACATTCTATACAATTAGTATACATTAATAAAACTTTTTTTTAAAGAAGGACAAAAGCTAAGTTCATTTCTCTTAGTCCCTGGGTACATGATGACCATAATGCCACAACTCACTCTTACTGGTGAGAGGGAGGGTTGGGAGGGTTTCTTGGAAGAGGTAGCTAGATTGCCTTGTGGCAGATGGCACTGGTCCCAGTGCTTATGGGGAGTGATGGAAGAGCTGCTGCTTGGAAGCTCTCCAGCTTTACCTGTGGGAAAGAGCGGGAAAGTCCTGGTCTAACCATGTCTCTGTGGTGAGCCAGTTAACCATCAGACTCAGCTTCCTCATTTATAAAAGCCTTTCCCTCTTCCTTGACGGTTGGTGTTAGTGGCTTTGGGCACAGAGAGCTGCCGACTCGTTTGTGGTCAAGGCAATGAGCGCTCACCACCAGTAAGTATTTACTTAAGGCCCTTTATATGCAGGAACTCCGTTCTAGATGGTAGGTCAGAGGTCAGAGCGTGGTGCTTACACCCCAGTAGTAGGGAGATGGAAAAACATACGAAAGTAAACACACAGTGTGTAGTTGGGAGCTATAAGAGAAATAAAGCAGGACAAAGGTGACGTGAGTCAGGGTAGGCTTCTCTGAGGAGGTGGATATGGGTAGATCAAGGAAGCAAGGCAATCAGGGGAGGCTGAGGCTGAAGGAGAAAGAAACAACAAGCCAGGGAACTCAAGGCAGACGGGTTAGAGTTGGTGTTTTTAAGGAGCAGAAAGGTTAGTGTGAGGTAGGAGGTGTCATGGGAGACAAAGAGTTATGCCAGGTAGGACCCATGGGCTCAGATAGGAGGCTCATTCTCTCTGTGACTGTATTGGAAAACCACTGGGAGGTTTTGAGCTGGTCAGGCCCTGCACTGACTGGTTCCCCTAGGAAAAGTGGCTGTGGTAATGGGGAGACTTGAAGACTGACAGAGTAATCCAACTTGGAGGTTCTAACAGGGTTCCTCTGAGGCGGTGACCATCTGGATAGAATAATGGAGTGGAAGTAGTCAGTGGTGAGGTGAGGACAGAAGAGGGGAGGAAAGGGGGTTGGGGACAGACCCATCTAGACCCAAGAGTGACTGGGATGGGGGTCCAGTATCAGTGAGCTGGAAGAGAAGGCTTGCTTGCTTGGTATATGTGGCATCCTTGACATAAGGTTTGGGGTCATTATTGTTTTTGATGATGATGGTTTCTGGGTTCAGATCATGGGAGTGGGCAACTGAGGGTAGAGTAAAAGGGAAAAGTCACTTGAATGAGTGAGTGGCCCAACTGTATGAATAAGGACACTGTAATGTCATTTGTGTTGCAGAACAAGATTGTGGACCAGTGTGAGAGGCTGCAGTTACAGAGTGCTGGCATCACCAAGTATGTGGCAGAGGTCCTGCAAGGGAAGAACCAGAAAGCCGTGGTAATTCTTCCGCTTTCCTCTGGGCCACCCCCTAAGACTCTAGCCCAGGTCTAGCATAGTCTAAATCCCTTTCTGAACTTACAACCTCATTGAGCTACTGGATGAGCTGGCTGACTGTTTCCTTCAGTTCGCAGGCTACAGAGAAAGAATTCTTGGTGACTTTGACATAGAAAGTCAAAAGACTAGAACTTTTTCTCAAAAATTTTAGATTCATTTTATTTTGTGTATATGATTGTTTTGCTTGCATGTATGTATGTGCACCACTTGTGTGCCTGGCATCCGCAGAGATCAGAAGGGGGCATTGGATCCCTTGGAGTTATAGATGGTTATGAGCCACCATGTGGGTGTTGGAAATCAAACCAGATCCTCTGCAAGAGCAACAAATACTCTTGACTGGTGAGCTATCTCTCCAGCCAAAAGGCTTTTACTATGGAATTATTTTGTGCTCATCTTCAGAATTATGAAATTCCTTTACATGGATTCCTTTTTTTTTTTTTTTTTTTTTTTTTTTTTTTTAACCAGTAAGAAGCATGGACCCAGGGTCATGTACATGCTAGGCAAATACTCTACCATTGAGTTACATCTCCAGTCCTTTTGAGATATTCTTTTGTTTGGTTGGTTTGTGGAAACAGTGTTTTGTGTAGCCTAGGCTGGCCTCAAACTCGCTATATAGTCAAGACTGACCATGAACTACTGATCTTCCTGCCTCTGGAGCACTGAAATTACATGCAACTGCCTCCATGCCAGGAATGTACTCTTATGACAACTTCATGCAGTAGGTGGCAGTAAACATCCCTATTTGAAGATATGGGAACACGTCTTACAGAAATCAGTTGACTTGCCCCAGTGCCTCATGCAGGGTCAGTTCTAGTCCTGGATTCTCTGACTCTCAGGCCACTGCTGTCTCTGCTGCATCACAAGGCATATCTCTTATTCAACACCACTATTTCATCTTCACTCTTCCAGTAGGCCCTTCAGGGTGCCTGTGAATTTCTTTTTGCATACCACCTCACCCACCCCTACCTATACACACAGCATAGAGAATAAGTTTGGCACTGCCTTGGCCCAGCTTCTTTAATTGTACAAACTGAACTGCCATAAACAAATAGAGGACTCATGGCAGGGCACAGGGGTTTCTCAGAAGCTAAAGGAACCAGAACTAGGAACCAGAAAGCAGCTAGGAATCCAACTAATCTGAGTCCACCTCCACTTTTTTGCATGATGATATTGAATTCTCCATCTCGGTCTGTCTTTGAGTCTGTCATTATTTTTATTTTCTTGTCCTATTGCACTGGCTATACTTCCAGAATAATATAAAATAGAAGCTATGGTAGCAGACCTAGACTTTAAGTGGGAGACTTCCAACATCTTACTATTTATTTAACAAATCCTTAGTGAGCACTTCCATGTGCCTGTGTGCTAGGCATCCTGCAGTGAACAAAACATGAGAATGCCTGTTTTGTGAATGCTACATGCTTGTCAGGAGAGATGGACAATAAAAAATAAAGTAGGTTATGTCAGAAGGCAATACATTCTTTGAGGGAGCTGTAAGTAGGAAGAGGGGACAGCATGTCCTGAAGACAAGGGTATTTCTCGTGATATTATAAGCAATGCTCTCATTAAGAAAGGTTGATATTTCTGGATGGTGGTAGCTTTAAGCCCACCACTTGGGAGGCAGAGGCAGGTAGATCTCTGTGAGTTCCATGCCAGCCTGGTGAACAAAATGAGTTCCAGGACATCCAGGGCTGTTGTACAGAGAAATGCTGTCTGGAAAAAACAAAAACAAGCAAACAAACAAACAAAAAAAAATAGAAAAGAAAAGTCAGTTGTTTATTGCAAAAGCCTGTGTTTGTTCCCTGGAATCCACATAAAGATAGGAGAGAACTAATTCTACAAAGTTGTCTTCTTACCTCCACACATGTATGTGCCAGGATGCACAAAAGGTTTGTTTATATTTGCTCAGAAACCTAAGAAACGTAGTGATTAACCACACATCTGAAGGAAAAGTGTGTGCAGGTTTGCAAGTACAAAACCCCTGGGCAGAAGAGTCCTGACCTACTGGAGGAGTAGGTAGAGTCCTTTGGGGCTAACGCAGTGTGGCCAGGTGAGGTGGCAGGAAAGAAGTAAAATCAGAACAACAAGGTTCAGGAAGAAACTAGGTCAGAGAGAAAAAGGTTCAGGAAGGAGCTGGATCTCACCTTCTTGGTCACAGAGGGCCTCATCTTAATTTCAGATATAAAGAGAAGCCACTGAAAAGCTTAAAAAAAATAAAAAACCATAGGCAAAAGCCTTAAGTTTAGGGGCTAGAGAGGTAGCTCAGTAGTTAAGAACACTTCCTCCTCTTCCAGAGAACCTGAGTTTAGTTGCTAGTACCTACTTTGGGCAGCTCACAACTGCATTTAACTTCAGCTCCCAGAGATCCAACATGCATGTGGCACACACACACACACACACACACACACACACACACACACACACTCACACACTTGCAGACAGGTTGAGATTTCAGTTTAAAAATAAGTCCCCTTGCAACTGTAGTAGGAAGTGACCACAGGCAACAAAGGTAAAGGGCAGGTGACCAAATGGGGGCAGTTATAATAATACAAGTGAAGTCAGTGTGGCTTCCTTGATATTCATTAAACTGTTTTCTCCTCCACACTGGGCAGATTGTGGGTCTCGGTTTCTTCTATAAAAGAGGAACAACTATTCCCTGTGCTATACAAAGCAGGTCTTCAGGGACAGGACCCAGAGAAGCAACCAGCTGTCCTTGGCCCTCTGACACCAAGAAGATAGCTCTACTCTGACACATCTGGCAAGAGTCAAGTGCAGGCGCTTATGTAGCAAATGGAAGATTGGTTGCCAGGTGGCATCTGGCATAGGGGAGTAGTGCTAGACTTCCAGTTGGGAGAGTGGGCAGCTAGCTCCACCTCAGCCACTGGCTCATGGTGTCCAAGCCAGCAACAGATTTCCCCTAAGACAGCATGAGTTTCCCACTCAGTCACTGAGTCTATGTTTGGAGGTGTCTACTGCATGCCAGACCCTGACCACTGAGAGTTAGAGGATGATTCTTGTTAACATCCTTAGCTGAGCCAGTGGTGGTGGCCTTTAATTCCAGCACTCGGGAGACAGAGGCAGACAGATCTGTAAGTTCAAGGCCAGCCTGGTCTACAGAGAGTTCTAGGACAGCCAGGGTAGTTACACAGAGAAACCCTGTGGAGAAATAAGCAAACAAAAACAAGAATAGACATACAAAAAAAAGCATCTTTAGCTGAGAATTTCTTTCCAAGCTCCTCTATGACACATAAAAATCTTGTGTTGGAACCAGTTGGAATGAACAAGCCTTAGGAGAGGAATAGGATTTTGGGCCTCCGGCAGAGTGAGCTCATTCTTACTGGTCAGCTTGATGAGAATAACTCTTTAAGGCCATTCTGCCCTGTGATCACTATGATTCCCTCATAGTGGCCATCATGTTTCTGACTGTGAAGTAAGCAGGCAATTCTAGTTCATCTCTAAGCCCTGCCCACCTTTTATTCCATGGCCATGACCTTCTGAGGCATGGCCTGGATGTTTGGATCTCAGGTTTCTCTTAAACCACACTTTGGAACTCTAAATGCTAGAGTGTCAAAGTAAATGGCTTGGGTACCTTTATTCTCCTCACTCTGCACATGGCAGACATTGTCAATCATTGCTGGCATCGTTTCTGCTGAACCCATTCTGTCTGTACTCTCCTGCTTGTGACTGGGACTTTGCCAGGATCTGACTCCTCATTTTATCCCTTGCCAGAGCATGGCTAGTGCAACGAGGGAACTGGTTATCCAGAGGCTGAGTCTGGTGAGGAGCCTGTGTGAGAGTGAGGAACAGCGATTACTGGAGCAGGTGCACGGCGAAGAGGAGCGGGCTCACCAGAGTATCCTGACTCAGCAGGCACACTGGGCCGAGGCACTGAAGAAGCTGGACGTCCTCCGGACCAGCCTGGTTGGCATGCTTACCCATCTGGATGACCTCCAGCTCATTGTAAGTCCGGAGAGGGCAAGGGCACGGGAGGTTGGCCAGCTTCCCCCAGATTTGAAGATCTGAGACTGCCAAAAAGATGGCAGTGAGCCTTGGGACAGGGATGAGTGACAGTGATTTCTGCCAGACTGTGACGCTATTTCTATCCAGGCCCATCTATATGCTTTCTTAGTAAAGAACCTAGCTAAATCAGCTTGGCCAAAAGCCCCCACCACTGACATCTGATAGCCCTTGGCATTTATCAGATTCCACATCTCCGCCATCTCCAAGGGGGTTCTGATCATCCTGGCCTGTCTTTAGCAAGAATCCTGTTAGGTAGGTTTAGCTAGGATCCCCCTTCCCCTCAGTGTTTCCTCTTAGCCAGCAGTTCTCAACCTGTTGGTTTTGGACCCTTTGGGGGCTGAACGACCCTTTCACAGGGATTGCATAAAACCATCAGAAATCACAGATATTTACATTATGACTTATAACAGTAGCAAAATTGCAGTTATAAAGCAGCACCAAAGATAATTTTATGGTTGGGGGTCACCACAGCGTGAGGAACTGTATTAAAGGGTCACAGCATTAGGAAGGTTGAGAACCACTGCTCTTAGTGATTTACTACCCAGTGATCCCACACTGCTCCATGGCCACCAATTCCATCTGTATTCAAAGCTGAACTCAGTCTTTCACCCACTGCAAGATCCCATGGCAGTGGTCCCTAGAGCTATCTTCTTTACTGTGTTTAATATCATTGACTCGTTCCATTTTTAACACAAGACGGGGACTAAAATTATCTTGAGTATTTTGGCACGCAATAACAATATACTCTGAACAGCCAGCAAATCCTTATTGTCTAAATGTTGTGTAATGGGGCAGAGTTACAGGGGACAGCTGCTGTTGCTCCCAGCCCTACCCAAGAGAGGAATACATAAACGGACAAGTAGACTGTGTAGTAGAGGAATCCCTTGGAGGTCAGAACACCCCCAAGGCAGTTGGAATAGATTATAGTTTCCTGGATGAAGTGACTTAGAAGTAATGAAAAAAGTTCCCAGGTTCAAGGAACTGGGGAGGTGGAGAGAGGTCAGAAGTACACAGGGAGAAGGCAGTGCTTGGCACAGACGAGGGCACCAATAAAGAAAACACTCTCGGTTTTACCAGACATAACCACGATTAATACTCAGTGTGCAGCTTCCACAGTACTTTATAGATTTGCAGATGCCTCCAGCTTTGAGGGACGGTAAGATACCCGAGTAAAACTACCAAGCAGAGGGAGAATGAGGAACCACCAGGCCAGCCCCTGCCTTTCAAGTAGGGCAGTCTCTATGACTGCCCTAGATTGTACATCCATTCAGTACCAGCTTCCAGGCAAAGGCACATTCTGTCCCAGCCACTGGGAGAGTCACAGTAAAAGATTCAGAGAATCACACAGGCATCCAAGAGTAGGCAGTCTCCATGGCAGGTGGCAGTGGGAAGCTGGGTCTGTGGAGGATGGTCCTGAAGTGAAGTTGAGGGGAGCCCAGGATGTCACAGGGTAGGGGGCAATGGCCGATTCATTCTTTGTGTGTGTTGGGAGGATGGGGGAGGGGCAAGTGTATATGTAGGAGAGAACAGCCCAGAAAGCTTTGTTTGGTCTTTGCTGTGAAGTCTCCATCCACAGTTGCTTGCAGGGAAATGTGTTCAGGTCCTGTCCACATGATGGGTTTCTGTTGCCAGCCTGACCCTGTTTTCCTCTCTTGCAGGAGAAGGAGCAGGAGATTTTTGAGAGGTGAGTGTGGCATTATAATTTGCTCAGGCAGTCACAGAGACCCAGGCCACTTCTTCCCAGGCCACTGCATTCTAGGCATGTAGCCAAGTAACTTCCTAGAGCCTGGCTCCAAGGTCAAAGGTCACCCCTCTGACTTCCCACCCCATAAGTCTTCTTTATATCCATATGGAAAGGCACTGAAACAAATACTTAACTAGCCAGGGGCTTTCCGAAAATTTATCCTACTTCAACCATGGTTACCCTGGGTAATGCGGAGGCCCAGAAAAAAGGGCAGGGAGCTTGCCGAGACCCAGAACTGGGGCTTGGATTCACCTGATGGTTGTTTGGTGGTATAGTGCTTTTGCCTGGTTTGTAGAAGGTCCTGGGTTCAATTCCCAATCCTCTAAAAAGAAAAAAAAAAAACTTTAAAATGAAAAGTGAGTCTTCATCAACCCTTCCCAGTTGCATTCTCCTGGAGATGTGAGTTGTTTTAAAGATGTGGATTTTTAAAAATGTAGTTACTTAATTATTTTGTGTGTGGAGTGAGAGAGAGTGTGTGTGTGTGTGTTTGTGTGTGTACCATGGCTCATGTGTGTGGGTCAGGGAACAACTTGTGGGAGTGAATTCTCTCCTTCTACCGTGTGGGTACTGGGGATTGAACTCAAGTTGTCAAGCTTTGTGGCAAGTACTTTATCCACTGAGTCAGCTCACCAGTCTTAGATGTGGAATTCCACACTCTTTGTTTTATTAGATTTGAGATTTGGACTTATTTAATTGGAATATATGTGGATTCATGTGTGTACGTGTTTCTTTTTTACTTCCTTTTAACACTATATGTTTTTAAACAAACACAGATGGGATCATTTTATACCTGTTCTATTCCTTAGCTGCTTCGGGGAAAAGTTCACATTAATACATTTAGATTTCCTTTTCTTTTTCCTTCCCTTTTTTCTTCCTTCCTTCCTTCCTTTCTCCCTCCCTCCCTTCCTTCCTTCCTTCACTGTCTGATGAAAATAAATTCTATTGGATTTATTTGTTTTATGTGTATGACTGTTTTGCTCTCTGTACACCATACATGTGTGTGGTGCCCGTGAAGGTCAGAAGATGGCATCAGATCCCTTGGAACTGGAGTTAGGGATGGTTGTGAACCACCACGTGGGTGCTCAGAATCTAATCTGGGTCCTCTGCAATAGCAGCAAGTGTCCTTAACCACTGAGTCATCTCTCCAGCTCACTTCCTCTGAGTCTTGTTTTGTTTATGGTGTTGAGGAGCCAACTTAGAGCCTCATGCATGCCAGGCAAGAGTTTTGTCTTTTGTCTTTGAGACAAAATCTAGTGTAGCCCAGGCAAGCCTAGACCTCTGGATCCTTCTTTCTCTGTCTCCCTAGTGCTGAGATGACAGTGAGCCATCCACCCATTGAATGTGTTTGGTCTATTTGCTCATACTGTTTCCCATACTTCTCTGGTGGTCTTCTCATTCAGTTCATCTGTCATCGTCTTCCTTTACTACAGTCTATCCTTAGTATGAAGCAAGCTTGACTTATTAATAAAATCCCATCTCTAATTTTTAAAATTTTGAAATATTTCAAGCTTGTGAGGAAGTGTGGCATAATAAACTTCACTAGAAGTCATACTCTGCCACAGTAGCCCTTACACTGTTACTCTTCCTTTCTGTATGGCTGTCATCTATTGCCTGTCCTTTGTCTTCGTGTATGTAGTGTGTATAGAAAAATGTTTTTCTCTGACCTATCTTATGATATCCTGCAGAGAACATGAAATTTTCTCTCTGGATATTTCCAATATAGCTCCTGAAAACAAAGACATTTTCTTTTCTTTTGTTTGTTTGTTTGTTTGTTTTGTTTTTGTTTTTCGAGACAGGGTTCCTCTGTATTGCTTTGGAGTCTGTCCTGGAAGTAGCTCTGTACGCCAGGTTGGCCTCGGACTCACGGAGATCCACCTGTCTCTGCTTCCCCAGTGCTGGGACTAAAGGTGTGCACCACCAACGGCCCAGCCTTGTTTTTGTTGTTTGAGACAGGGTTTCTCTGTGTAGTCCTGGATGTCCTGGAACTACTTCTATAGACCAGACTGGCCTTGAACTCATAGAGATCCACCTACCTCTGCCTCCTAAGTGTGGGACTAAAAACATGCACTGCCAACACCCAGCATCAAAGATATTTTCCCATATAACTCCAGCATAAAATTTAGGAAATTCATCATTGATACAACACCATTCTCTAACACAAGATCCATATAATCCATATTCAAAGGTTGCCATTTGTGCCAAAAACTCTTATCAGTGGGTTTGTTTGTTTGTTTGTTTTGTTTTCTTCTGATTCATCTGGCCTTTTTAGTCCCTTAGTCTTTAGGAGATCAGGCCTCTTTTATAGACTATCATTCAATTTTCAGTAGAATGAGATATCTGAAAGCCAAGATGAGTCATTAAGTGTTCTCACTGCTACTGACATGTCATTGTACTGGACCTTTAATCAGAACTTGGGCATATGTGTAACATTTTGTGCATGAATCTATATCATAACTTCTAATTCCAGTCTAACACAGCAGTGTTTTGCCTTTGCCTGCCCCCAATTCCATACTTATATCTTACATTAAGAACCCTGGCTCCCAGGCTAGGCTTAGTGGCCCATGCCTTTAATCTCAGTATTTGGGACACAAAAACAGATCTCTGTGAGTTCAAGGCCAGCCTGGTCCATATAGCTCCAGGACAGCCAGGGCTACATATACAGTTTTATTTGTTTTCTCAGTCCTTCAGCACACACATTGTTGAATTGCTGAACCCATACTTCTTCCATTGAGAAACATACTAGTTGAGTTGAAGATTTGCATGTAGTGTTTTGTGCTCTGAGGTTATTCTCTCTCAAGAGCTGTTGTCAGGCCCATCTAGGAGGAATCTCACTATCTATGATATATGCCTTTGATGGCTCAACTCTTGCCTAAGAGTGACAACAACCCCCACTGCGAAATATTCTGATTCCAGCCAGGCTTTGCTGTATTCAAGTCCGGCTGGGCCTTGGAGCCATGGATTTGTGTTCCGTACCATGCAGTAGCTGGACAGTGGCTCTCTGTTGACCTCAGTCCATACATAGTCTCAGCTTTGTTCCAGAATGGCTGCTTGCTGACACTGGTTCCTCCTTGTCTCCACCTGTTAGCTGGGGCTTTTCCACACAGAGCTGCCATGCTTTGAGAGCACAGGCTCTCTCTTGTTCTGACCATAAAGAACCTTTGTTGCCAGAGCCCATGGTCAGCATTTGTACTTCCCCATTTCTAAGGCTCTGCTCATCTCAATTCTTCCCAGGCCAGGACGATCAGTGACAGTCTCACAGAGACCCTGCATGCATCAGAGAAGTGTAGCTCGAATGACACCCCAAACCATCTTCAGAATTAGAGGTGGTAGGAAAATTCTTTCTGAGAAGCCAGGTTGGAGGACTACAGAGTGCTGGATAACTTCCCACTTTACTTTTTTCCCTTTGAGATTTCATTTCAGGTCAAGGGGAAAATATGTTGAGTGGGCTCCACCCTGAATCTGTTCTATTTTTTTTTTTTTTTTTTTTTTTTTAACATGGAAGAGGACTGGAATCCAGCTCCCATTTTCTGCACAGTGTCTTCCATAAAGTTCCATTCTGGTGTCAGATGGGAAAACTACTCCTACTCCCTTCCCATTACAGCAAAGTTTAAATGATCATTTATAAAGACAGTAAACACAGAGGCCAAACATCTGGATAAATGACATCCTACCCTAAGGCATTTCCTCTTTTAAATTTTTTTGTTAGTTTTTAATATTTGTGTGTGTGTGTGTGTGTGTGTGTGTGTGTGTGTGTGTACACACGCGTGAGTGCATGCCTGTGTATATGTAAGTGTACTATGTATGTGCAGGAGCCTGAAGATAACAGAAGGCATTGGATCCCTTGCAACTGCAGTTACAGAAGTTGTGAGCTGCCATGTGGGTTCTGGGAATTGAACCTAAGTCTTCTACAAGAGTAATAGCTCCTCATAACTGTCAACCCATCTCTCCAGCCCTAGTTGGGTTTTTTCTTTGTGTGTGTATGTATGTGTGCTTTGTCTGTATGTATGCTTGCATGTTTGTATGTACAAAAAACATTGTTCATGTGGAGGTCAGAGAACAATCAGATGCTGGGTCTTGCCTTCTATCTTGTTTGAGACGGGGTCTCTTTGTTAGCCTACACCAGGTTAGCTGGCCTTTGAGCTTCTTATCTCCATCTCCCATCTCACCTAGAATCACAGGGATCATAGTTGTGTGCCATTTCACCAAATTTTACATGGGTTCCAGGGATTCAACCTCCAGTCCTCAGCTTGCACTGCAAGTGCTTTACCTATTGAGTCATTCCCGGCTTCCAGGCATTTTGTCTTGATGACTAAATGTTCCAGGTCTGTGTGCTCCCCAGGTTTGTGTTTAAGAGATGAGGAGTGGCTGGAACCAAACCAGGGGAGCATTTACTGTTACAGTGGGTTTTGGAGGCAGTGAGATATTTTCTGGAGAGTATAATAGAGAAAATGTTATCATACAGCAGGTCTGAGACCCAGATCCTATCCCATCTCTGCTGTCAGCTTACACCCCAGGGCACATAGCCTCCAGGCCCCATCCCCAAGATTGACTGATTTTTTTAATCATGCTTGTGTGTGTGTTGGTTAGTACACGCAGGTGCAAGTGTTCACAGAGGCTTTCTGATCTGGAACTGGAGCTGGGAACCTCTGCAGAAGCAGTAGGCACTCTTAGCTAAGCTTTCTCTAGCCCCTGCCCCTACTTTTAATACCAGTTAAGAATGTACTTTCCTGGATGGGTGGTGATGGCGCACACCTTTAATCCCAGCACTTGGGAGGCAGAGGCAGGCATATTTCTGTGAGTTCGAGGCCAGCCTGGTCTACAAAGCTACACAGTGTAACCCTGTCTTGGGGTGGGGGGGGAGTATACTCCTTATAAGCTGTCTGCATGCCTGCCTTGCTGGAAGGAAGGCCCCCGGGGGGAATCAGGAAAAGCCACTGTCCCTTCTGGTTAATACAATCATGGTGTCACCCTACAAAGGAAGGATTTTACTTTTGTCTTTCTCCCCTCACTCATGTGGATCCAGGTGCATTTCCAGAACCTTCCTGAACCTCTGTCTCTCTTTTTTCCTTCTGCATAAGGGCTGAGGAAGCAGAGGGCATTTTGGATCCCCAGGAGTCGGACAAATTAAGCTTTAACGAGAAGTGTGCTCGGAGCCCACTACTGACTCAACTCTGGGCAACATCGGTTCTCGGGTCTCTCTCAGGTTAGGAGCTGCCTGCTTTTGTGTGTGTGTGTGTGTGTGTGTGTGTGTGTGTGTGTGTTGAGGGGAGGGGTGGTTGCTGCTGGGTCACACTGGGTATTAGTGCATCTGGGATGGTAGCTCTTACAGCCAGTAAAGTTGGAAGCAGGCTGCTCAAGAGAGCCAAGGCTATGGGCAGGGCTGAGCAGTTGACCATATCCTTCCCATTCTGGGGTAGCTCTTTATCACTTATTGGAAACCTCAGATTTCTTTTTAAAAGTAGAGTGACATCCACATGGACAGCATCTGGGATCACAATGAAACTGCCAGAATTTGCCTCACCCATTCATTTAACAAACATAGGCCTAAAGGGTTGAGTGTGGTGATACACAGCACTTGGGTGGCTGAGTCAGGAAGATACTGAGTTCAAGGCCAGGCTGGCCACCTATCTTCCTCTGTAAGACCCTGTCTCAAGAACAAGAGAATAAAACCTTAACTGGTGTTGAGTGTGGGCATGGCCCTGTACTGCACACTTTTTAATTCTCCCCTGCAAATAGTGTGTGTGTATGTGTGTGTGCACTATTACAAGAAATATCTTGTATGCTCTAGATTCTCGTATCAGATGGTGCCTGGTTTAGTTAACTTTCTAGAACTGCCTATGTCACGTTTCCCAGTTTTTGGGCTCTGTCCTCGAGATACCAGCTCTGGAAGCCACAGATAGGACCAGCTTGAAAGCAGTATGATAGGGGAATACTTACATACTAGATTTTCATTTGACCCAGGTTGATGTGGCAACTCTGGCCCTTCTTTCTATCAGAATTTCCACATGAAGATTTTAGATCAATAACTACTGTTCCCCTGGCTACAGGCACTCAGCATGTATTATATATGAGGCGCTTAACATACATTACTTCATGTAGTCCGCACGACTACCCTGTGACAAGTCCTATTTGGTTCCCACTTTAAAGATGAAGAAACCGAGGCTTAGGGAGAGTGAATGGCTTGTGTGAGGCCTCAGTGAGTGGTAAGAACGCCTTTGACTACCTGATAGGACCAGATTAGGATGGAGTAGGGGTAGAGCCCTGGACAACCCTGAGAATTCTTTCTGGCAGGCATGGAGGAGGTGCATATCAATGAAAGGACTGTCAGCCCCTTATTGCAATTGTCGGAAGATCGAAGGACCCTGACCTTCAGTGCCAAGAAGTCCAAGGCCTGCTCAGATGACCCAGAGCGCTTTGACCACTGGCCCAACGCCCTGGCTGCTACCACCTTCCAGGCTGGGCTCCATGCCTGGATAGTGAATGTTCAGCACAGTTGTGCTTACAAAGTGGGTGTGGCCTCAGCCCAGCTGCCCCGGAAGGGTTCTGGTAATGACTGCCGCCTGGGCCACAATGCCTTCTCTTGGGTTTTCTCCCGCTATGATCAAGAGTTCCGTTTCTCACACAATGGACAACACGAGCCTCTGGCACTGCTTCGGTGCCCAGCACAGCTGGGTGTGCTGCTGGACCTCCAGGCAGGAGAGCTGGTCTTCTATGAGCCCGCCTTGGGGACAGTGCTTCACATCCACCGCGCATCCTTCCCTCGGCCGCTGTTCCCAGTGTTTGCCGTGGCTGACCAGGTCATCTCCATCGTTCACTGACCATTGGCCACGGTGAGGCCAGATCCACCTCCCCATCACCCTTGTAGGTCACGCCATGTTCTCAGCTAGTGTCCTTTCTTTCCTCAGTGGTGTGTGCAGTCTTCCCTGTGGGCAACCTTGGGAGAGATGGAATCTGCTTCCATCTCAGACATAACCTTTTGATGCTGGTCATCTGTGTGGAACCCAAGCCCACCATGCTTGGGCCTTTCTAAGGGTCTCATTAACCTGGTGCATGGCTAGTGTACAGCAAAACACAGTGAGGGAGTATATGGCTAGGCAGGCAGGTGACCAATGGTGTGGCAGTTTCTGGAGGAGCACTGCTGTCCCTGGAGGTGCCTCTCTGCAGAGAAGTGTATGGTGGCGTTCCCCTAGCCTGTCAGTTCAGTATTTCTCGGTCCTTTTCATGCCACAGCATACAGAGAGAATATTTTTCTAGCACACAAAAGACAACTTGCCAGGTTGCTCTTGGCCAGAAAACCAGCCTGCAAGTGTCATGCCCTCCTACAGTCTCCCATGGCACTTGTATCCTAGCTCCAGGAAATGTGCTTACAGCACAGTTGTGGGCATCTGTCCCGGGTCCTGAGGCTGAGCTCTAACGTGGACCTGCCTGTGATAAGGTGATCCCCCATCACCGTGCTGATGAGCACCCCACATCATGACTCTTAGGGTGCAGACCTGGATGGAGAGCTTCAAGCCAGAAGAGCTGAGTGGAAACGAGGCTTTCCTTAATGAATGAATGTGTTATTAAAGGTTTCCAAAGACTTAGTGATGTCTTTGCTGGTAACTGGCTTCATGCTGCATGACAGCCTTAGGTACCTGCTTAGAAATAAGTGGGTTGTGCCCCCCCCAGCAGAAAGAGCCTGGACATGTTACTGGAGATGTTGAACCAAGGCCAAGTCTTCTTGCCAGGACCAGGGACGAAGCATGGTGGCAGAGCACATGGGTAGCATGCTAAAAGCCCTGGGTTCAATCCCCAGCACCGCAAACAGAACAGTTTGAAAAACAGCCAGGGTTGTCACAACGTACAGCTGGCAAATACTGTTCTGCTTCAGTCCCTCAGTGCCATATAGAAATGTGATCTCAAGATGACTGGAAGGGAGGTCTTTGGAGAACAGTGTGTTCATGTGGGTGGGTACATGTGTGCATTTGGGTATGCATGTATGTAAGTGCATGCATGTGAAGGCTTTACAGGGTGGCCTTAGATGTCTTCTTTAGACGACATCTCCCTTTTGGAGACAGTCTCCCATTGGCCTGGAGCTCAGCAAGTAGAGTAGGCTAGCCAGTGAGCCTCAAAGAAACTGTCTGTCTTAGTCTCTCCCCACTGCAGGGATTCCAAGTGCACATCCCCGTGCCTGGCAAGTTTATGTGGGTTTAGGGCATCAGATTTGGGTTCATGCTTGCAATGAGCAAGCACTTTTCCAATTGAGCTATCTCCCTAGTCCTCCTTGATTTTGTACTTAATATGAGAGGGTACTCACATGCCATGGTGCACATGTGGAAGTCACCCGAGGACAACTTTATTCAGCCAGTTCTTTCCTTCCATCTCTCTGGAGTCCCAGGTCAAACATGGGTCATCCTAAGGCTTTCTGTTTGTTTGCTTGCTTGCTTTTGTTTTCTGAGAAAGAGTTCTCTGTGTAGCCCTGGTTGTCCTGGAACTCACGGTGTAGAAAAAGCTGGTCTTGAACTCAGATCCACCTGCCATTGCCTCCCGAGTGCTGGGATTAATGTGTGTGCCACCACCGCCAGGCTCATTTGTGGTTTGTTTCCCATAGCCTAGACTAGTTTGAACTCACTATGTAGCTTCCACCTCTAGAATGTCAGGGTTACAGACATGTGCTACCATGCTCATATAAGGAATACCTTGTTAGGACTGCTTACTGGGTTATTCAAAGCCATGGTGCCCTGACTACCAACTCGGATGCTGTAGCAGAGTTGAGCTCACAGTTCATGGGGTTGTTGCAGACATGCCCCCCCTTCTTCCCTCTACCTGTTCAGATACTACCCAAACTTTATTCCCAGGTGAGAGTCCCCTCCAGAGTCACTGCTGTGAATATTAGAGTATATACACTTGTGCTTGTCTGTGCTTATAGCCCATTGTATCCCTTGTGCCAGCAATGCACAAAGGCACAGATATATCTAGTAGACACCAGCTATATAGGTAAGACGGGAAGGAAAACTGATTTAAAAAACAAACAAAAAACAGCCAGGTGTCATGGCCCACACCTTTAATCCTAGCACCTGGAAGACAGAGGCAGGTGGATCTCTCTGAGTTGAAGGGCAGCTTGATCTACCTAGAGAGAGTTCCAGGACAGCCTCCAAAGCTACACAGAGAAACCCTGTCTCAAAAACAAAAACAAAAACAAAAACAAAAAAAAAAAAAAAGAAAGAAAAAGAAAAAGAAAGGTAGCAGGCAGGGTATCTGCTGCAGGGCAGGCACAAGTCAACAGTGTTCCTTCTTAGAACCAATTATAGTGTCCTCCTGTCAAGGGTGCTAGTGGAAAGCCCAGCACTCTTGACCTTCAAATTCGTCTAACTCTGAGGTTCCAAGGTTGGGGAAAGGATTTCTATTTCAGCGTCTCTGGGCTTTTTTGATTTTGTGTTTTGCACAGTGGGGTTTCAGATCTCCAGTGACAACAAGCCCTTGCTGTAAAGAGTGAAAAAGAGGAGAGAGAGAATATACCTAAAGTTTGAACCCAGGGCTCACAAGTTAGACAAGTGCGCTACCACTGATCCATGTCCCTAGCTCTTGAAAGTGGCTCACACCTGTGAGCCTAGGATTCAGAAGGCTGATGGAGAAAAGATCATGAGTTCCAGGCCAGTGTGGACTAAGCCTGGGCTACAGTGAAAACCTACCTCAAAAAACCAAAATGAACATGGCTTTGAATAGATGGGCCCTCCATGGATAGGGAGCAGGGGTTATAGAAAAGGACAAGGGGAACTGGTGAGTTGGCTGGGTGCATACAGCACTCGCTGTACCAACTCTATGATCTCAGTTCAATCCCCAGATCCCATGTAAAGATGGAAGGAGAGACCAGAGTCTATAAAATTACCCTCTCTCTCCCTTCCTCCTTCTCTCCCTCTCTGTCTCTCTCTCTCTCTGTCTCTCTCTCACACACACACACTCCACTCCACATCATCATAATAAATAAATAAAAAGGGACACAGGTTTGATTAATAAGTGACTTCAGAGATTAGGCCACTGCAAAGCCCTCGCTGTTCTATGATCAGAATAATTTGTGGAGTCTGCAGAGGGAGGGTCAAGACACCTCCCTCTGTAGGAGCGGGGGAGAAAGAAGGGACTCCTTGCTTCCAATCTTTATTTGGTCCCAGCTACTTCCCTCATCAGACTCATGACATAGGGCTTGAGGCCTCCAGAAGGTCAAGGGCAGGCAGGAGATGGGACAGGGACGGCAGAATATGTTCTTTGGGTACAGAGTCTCTGATTGAGGAGTCCAAAGGCTCTGGGCCAGCCAGCAGGAAGCTTTGCATGCCTACAGCCCGAGCCCCCTGGTAATCACAGAGGTAACTATCCCCAACATGAGCTGATACTGCAGGTTCTACACAAGCAATTTGCAAGGCCTTATGAAAAATTCGTGGGTCAGGTTTAGGACAGCCCGCAGCCTCAGAAGTCAAAACAAAATCAAAATGTTCCCACAGGCCAAGGCCTACCAGGACATCCTCTAGTCGTTGGTCAAAATTGGAGATCACAGCCAGCCTCAGACCCCGTTTACGGCACCCCTTCAGGGTAGTCTCAGCCCCCTCCAACACCTGCCAGGTGGAGGGGCGGCTGAAGTCTTTGTATAGCTGATCAGCAATGGGAATAACGGCCTGCGCATCTGGGACTCCTGCTAGGTGGAAGGTGTTTAGGATCAAGTCCACCCACCACTGACGGGAGGTAAGGCCACAGCTCTGGCCATAGTTGGGAAAGTTGTGGCTGTGAACCCTGTATGCCTGCCCAAAGGCTTGTTCCAGGGCTGTGGCTTCCACCACAAGCCCATGGGCCCGGGCCTTGCTGGCATATTCCTCCCCAACAGGACGGCGGAGCTTGATCAGGGTATCCTTTATGTCCCACGTCAGCAGACGCATCTGCAGCCGGTGTGCCATGGAGACCAAGTTCCTAGGACCAAAGGAGACACTGAACTGGCTCAGGTCACCCCTCCACAAGCTATCAGTGGCTCCTTTCCAGGCTGTGGAGGTCAGAGTTGTAGGTTGACACAAGCAAGGCACTTAGGAAATGTCTCTCAGCATAAGATCCTGGAAAGAACATCAAGCAGGTGAGATGGACTCTGAGGCCCTGATGTCAGACACTGGTTCCACATCCTGATGGACCAAGTTCACAACCTGAGGAGTTACTCCCTGAACACCTGTTGAATCTCATGTGGAAGAGAGACATGAGGGTGCTGGCCTCACAAGATCACGGGACTAGACTAGAGTTGTGGCTCAGTTGGTAGAGTGCTTGCCTAGCATACCAAAAGCCTGAGTTTGATCCCCAGTACTGAATTATGATGGGCACTGCAGCACACATATATAATCCCAGTGACTAGGAGTTGGAGGCAGGAGAATCAGAAGTTCAAAGTCACCCTTGGCTACATAGCAAGTATGAGACCAGCCTGGGCTGAACCTGTCTCAAAAAATAAAACCCAACCAAGATTTTTGCACTAAAATGATTTATGCATTTGCTTCAAACCAAATTTCTGGGCTGGATGTTGGGGAAGAAGACAGATTTCCAGCCCCTGTGGCATTTCTAGGTATTAAATAAGAAGCGGTCCCTTGTAGACAACAAACTAGAAAGCAAGCATAATGAAGTCAGTATGTGGCTTGAGGCTGTAAGTCCAGAACCCAAGTTAGGCTTTGAACTCAGGGAATTTCCTTATCAGCTGAAGTTCTGGGGGAGACCCGAGGCTGGGCAAAGTCTAGTGCTCTGGGTGGAGCTGAGCTCAGGTATACAGCCTTGTAGGTCAGTCAGGAAGCAGTTATGACTGTTATCTGTATGCTGTATTTTGCCTTCATGTAAGTGCACCTTAGTCATGTCTGGTACCTGTGGAGCCAGGGGTGTCAGATCCCCTGGAACAGGAGTTACAGACAGTTGAGCTGCCATGTTGTTGCTGGGAACAGAACCCAGGTCTTCTGGAAGAGCAGCAATGCTCTTAACCTCTGAGCCATCTCTCAACCCATGACCCTGTTAAAATTATGAATAAATGTGTCCCTTCTTTGAGAAACCCATCTCCACACTTGTGTATGCTCGACTTTCTCCTAACCCTCATGCTTAAATCTATTTTAAAATATCATTAGTGAATTCTCCAACTTAACTTACAAAAACAAACGCCCCCACAAAACAACCTACTAGTAATGAATGTCCTACTAGTAATGTCAAAAGAGGAAAGTCCCTGACCAACAACATAGCTGGTGAGGGGATGATGGAGCAGGTGAGGGACAGTTACTTGCCTAAGGTCACAGCCTGCAATACAGGCTGGATTAGAACCCAAAGACTGGATTATGCTAAGCATGTATAGGGAAGGAACAGGGGACAGTCTGTTCCTACCTGGCCCTGAGCTGCAGCTTCTCCATCCTTCCTGAAATTAGTAACAACTGCCAGGGAGGTCAGCCCAGGAGGGCGACTGACCCAAAGCCCAGAGGCCAATTCTCTGCCTGGAGTCAGAGACTGACTGCAGGTTTCTAACCCAGACAGACCTGACTGCCATACAAAGCCATCTCTTTGAATCTGAAGGGCCCGGATTCATTCATAATGCAGCCAACAGGTGCAGACAGAGGTCCGGGGTGGGGTGGAAGTGGGGGCGCTTAGAGAATTGTGACGAAGAGGAGGATTTAAGTCAGCTTGAAACAGGGAGACAATTTTAAAGGGGCTCTTATTGCTCAAGTGGGTAGGCCGAGGCTCAGTCAGTAACCAGACTGTATCCGAAAGACCTCGGGACATATCTGGCTCAGCTACGCCCCAGAACAAAAGGCGTAGCAGGGTTGGGGGCGGCGGTTGCAGACCTGACCACCCTGAAAGCAGTGTGACCCGGGCTGGGAGCCTCTGAAGACCCTGTCCGCCGCTGGCAGGGCTCCCGCATTCCCCGCTCTGCTGCACGGCGCCCCCAAGGCTCAGCGGCCCCCACCCAGGGACTCCGCACCCACCTGGCTGGGGGAAAGCGACCAGAGAAGCAGCCGCTGCTCTACAGGCTCCGCAAAGACGCGCAGACACTCGCAACCCTGGAACTGGATATTACTTCTCGCCCCGCCTTGCTCGAAACGTCACCGAGCTCCTCCCTCGTGCTGGTCTCCTTCCCTACTTTTCTCCTGCCTCTTTGTCCCTTCTCTTACCCCGTAGCCCCCTGCTTCCTATCCCATGGCCTTTGCGCCTCCATCCTGCTTCTCAAGGTCACTCACTGTCTCATCTCCTCTTTCCACGCTCCTCCCCACCTCCCCTATTACTATCACAATTCAGGCGATTCTGTTTCTCATTTCTAACCCGTGCACCACCCCAGCGTCCCCAGCGACCTGCTTCCCACTGATTTGAGGATGGGGGATGTGGGGCTCAGCCTGTAGGGAAACAGGGCCAGCCAAAGGAACAATTTGTCCCTGCACCCTGAACCAAAGAAATGCACCCTGACCCTGAAACCAGTACCAAAGAAACACACTCTGGCCCTGAAATCAGAGCCAGTGAAAGAAATACATCCTAGCCCAAAAATTAGAGCCAAAAGGCTAAAATGGACCAGTGAAAGAAATACACTTTGGCCCTGAAAACAGCCAAATCTGACCCAAAACCTGTGCAGAAAACCAACCAGTCCCTGAGCAGGAGATCTAGCCCTCTGAGCTCAGGGATTGAAATCTGACCAATCCTCACCCTGGAAATCTCCCCGGAAAAACTCCGCCCCTACTGGTCATTGGTAGAGGCAATCCATTAATCCCAGCATTCCCAGCAGAGGCAGGCAGATCACTGTGAGTTCAAGGTCAGCCTAGTCTGCAGAGTGAGTTCCAGGACAGGCTCCAAAGCAGTACAAAGAAACCCTGCCTTGAGAAACCAAAAGAAAAAGAAAAGGGGGAGAGGGGCCCTGCCCCTAAGAATCCCTATATAAACCCTGTGCCTGTTCAGTTTATGGATCTCTTGAAGGAGGTTTGGGTGAGACCTTCTTTCCCAGGAATGGAGAGGATGAGAGAAGTAACAACTTCGCTGGGGAAGCCCTCCCCTGTGGCAGTAGAGCTGATACACTGGGGAAGCCTTTTCCTGGAGCAGAGCTGTAAGCTGCTATGCTTACTGTGACCTGTGGTATCCTTGGCTCCCGAGTGCCTTATGCTTACACCATCTGTCTTTACTAGTGTAGTGAGGACTCTGGCAAGGCCCTGTCCTTCTCTGTTCTGAGAGACCCCAGTCAGATATAGAAGGGAATTACACCCACAAAGGTTGCTGAGGTAGTAAGGTCCTCTGCAGTAATATAGACACTTTAAGATAGGGTTCTACTGTGCAGGTCCAGCTGGCGGTGAACATCTTCCTGCCTCAGCCTCCCAAGTGCTGGGATTATAAGCATGCCACCACAGTGTTTGTCTACCCTAGGTACTTTTTGAAAAATTGTCTTAAGGGGAAGGAAGAGTCATGTTTTTATAACTGAAATACTCGTTTACCTTTGGGGGAAAAAAAGTGTCCAAAGCCAACAAGCAGAGTTGCACCCTCAAATCCTCGATTTGCCACATGCTAAACCAGAGTTCTCTACCTGACTCAGTCTTTCTTCACTGAGGACACAGCAGGAAAATGGCAGTTTCCTATTTGCATGGACATGGAAGGGACAGGCAAAAATCAAGTAACTACATGGAATGGGCTGTAAGTGCAGCCAAGGGTTTGGTTAGGGGACAGGGGTGGGGGCAGGAGACTTCCCAGTACTCTTTGCTTCCCCTCCCCCACCAACACTCTATTAAAGCACTTTATCTCCTGGAGGCTCTGTGGACTTTGGATGGACTCAACCTTCTCTCACTGGGCCTCAGAAGTGCAGTCATGGACCGTCGGGCTCACCTGCCAGACTGATTTTGTGTCCCAGCTTCTTTCTCAGAAATCAAGGTAGAAAGGGTAGCCAGGATATCACACCTGTCTTTCACAGAATCTGAGAATCCATGACTGTGTCTCTTTTCAGGTCACCTCTAGCCTAACCCTTTAGTTTCTGATCCCAACTCTGACACCTTGGGGACTAGACAAAGTACCTTCCAACAGAATCCAGGCTAGCTTTAAGTGGATTTCCAAGATAATTAATGTTACCTGTCATTCCATAAGTCTCTCCGTATGGAGGTGGCATCAAGATGGATGATTGGTATGAAGACAGTCCACACAAAACCTCTGAGGGTTTATGAAGATTCTTTTTTAATGAGAAAACAGACTGCTAGATGCTTAAGAATTTCGTTTGGGGTCCTATTCCAGGAGCACAGGGCTACCACACTGTACATCTCCAGAGAGTGTTTACCAGTGTGTATCTGCTCACCTGGAGTCATGACATCGACTTAACTGCTGGGCCTCTAGACTCTGTTAGGTTTGCTAGGTTATGAGTAGCAAATACAATAAATAATAATAATAAGCCTGGGATGTCACAGGAAAGATAGTGGTAGTCTCTGATGGTCTGGATCTAGCTTCTTTTTGATTGGCCAGGTGATATACACCTGTAAGCCCAATTAGGAAGGATAGGTGGAAGGATCATTCAAGTATCAAGCCAGCCTTGGCTATGGAGCAAGATTCCTTCCAATGGACAAATGATATGTTTTCATCCTATAACTAGGTTACAGAAATTCCCTGACAGTTTCATTTCTTAGTTTAGTCTATGTCCCGTGGCTTGTTGCTATGTGGATGCTAGCTTGGGAAAACAAGTTTCATATTATATGAAACATTTTTTTTCTCCTTGAGTCTCCTGTTGAAGACACCAAGGAAACCCAGTCAGGGGCACACCTGCCAGGCACACACCCCATTACTTTTAATTTTTCATTTACTTCTAAAATTTTTTTGTTAAAACACAGAAAAAATGTACATGCTGGGTGTGGTAGCATTGCCTTTAATCCTAGTGCCCAAGAGGCATAGGGCAGACTGATATATGAGTTTGAGGCCAGCTTGGAATACACAATAAATTCTAGGATAGACAGACAGACATTGTGAAGGGCCCAGACTCTCACCCAGCCCCCTGCTTTGGCAACTATGACAGGTTGCAGAAAAGACCCAGAAAGATGTAGGCCCCTGACCCAGCAGGATGTGCTGAGCATCCCCACCCCCTACACCTTGCCCTAATTACTGGGAAGAAACTTCCAGATACCCTCTATGTGGTAAGGAACCAATCAGAAGTTAGGTGGCGGGTTTTGGATGTGCTTTACTGATAATAGTAGAATGCAGTAGGTAGTAATGGCCCCAGATGGCTTCCAGGCACAGCAACCTTTCTGCAGCTGCAGCTGACCAGTCAACTCAGGACAGGTTCCCCCATCCGAGAGTTGTGCCAGTCCTGAGACTGTTACTAAGTAACTAGCAGATCCCTTGCTCTACCCCCAATATATGCCCTGCCCCACTGCTTCTGGGTCCCTCCTATCCCACCTGATGTGTCAGATGAACAGAGGACCGGAGTTAACTCATAATTTAAGACTCTTTGCTTTTGCATCAGATCGGGTCTCTTGGTGGTTTGGGGGGTCCAGACTTTGGGCACACAATAATAAAATCACATGCTTTTTTAAAGTATGTTTTTAAACTTTCACAATATGTTTACCATTGCAATTGCTACCCAGAACCCTTTCCAATCTAGATGTCTAGAGCATGTCTGCTTTCAGTTGCTTATCCCCCAAATGGTATCAAAAATCTCCATCTTGCCCCCTTTTGAAATAAGATCTCATATGGTAACCAAGACTATATGGTTGCTCTATTTCATTCACAGCAATCCCCCTGCCTCAGCCTCTTAAGTGCTAAGATACAAGCCTTAGTCACCATGACCTACTTCTTTATGTGTGTGATGCTGGAATTGAACCACAACTGGCCAAGTGCTCTTTCTACCACTGATCTAACCCCTGGCCTTCTGGTTTTTTATTGTAATTTCACTTATTTGTGAGCTGTATAAATGGAGCAATACAGCAGCCATGTTCTTGTATCTTCCTTGCTTCTAATTTTTATTAATCCTCATCACAATGTGCAGCTGCCTTGTTCACTTTCAGAACTGTAACATTCCATAATCTGAATAGAGCACATTTGGGTTCATTCTGGTTTGGGATGGTCACACATATTAGAAAGTGTGATTATGACCAATTTTGTCTTGGGTTGATCTTCAACCTCGGCTTGTGATCCTCCCATTTAAATAGTTGAGGACAGAAGGCACATGTGAACCTTCTAAATGTCTCAGAGAACATCAGTATACACTTTAAAATTTTTTTAATTAATTTTTATTTTATGAACATTAGTGTTTTGTCTGCATATATGTCTGTGTAAGGATGTCGGCTCCTCTGGAACTAGAGTTACAGACAGTTGAGAGCTGCCATGTGGGTCTAGGAACTCAGGTCCTTTGGAAGAGCAGTCAGTGCTCTCTTAATGTCAGAACCATCTCTCCAGCCCCCAGTATACACTTTTGATAAATGCCTAGATGTGACATCATTAAGTATGTTTCATTTCAGTAGATAGAGCCAGTTTCCTGAAGTGGCTGTACTAGTAACTAGAGTTCTCAACTTCCCCATTCTCAACAGGTACCTACCTTTCAATGTTAGGAAATATGGATTATGACATCCCAATGCTCCCCACCCACTGGTGCTCACACATGTGATTTATTTTGAGTTGTTGCTATGCTGCTAGGATAGCCTTGAATTCATAATCCTCCTGCCCCAGCTATCCAGTGCTGGAATTATAAGAATGTTACCACACTCTGCCAAGGCTACCATCTTTGATTATGAGATGAAAAAGGAAGTAAACAGAACAAGATAGGCACTGAGATCAGCCCCACTGCCTGCACAAACTGACAAGCCAGCCCAAGGTTGCTTATGAAAGCAAATTATATCACACACACACAGTACTAAAATTGACATGTGGTGGTCAGGAGACACGTTTTGGAAGTTAATTCTCTTTTCACAGTGGGTTCTATGAGTTGAATTTGGGTCAGGCTTGCAAGGCAAACAATCGGACCTGTGTGTCATCTCACTATTTCCAAGAAGTAAATCTTTAAAACTATTGTTATTTTGGCATTTGTTATATTTACTAATCCAAATATAGAGGGTGAGT